TTACCCAGTCCGCTGAGCAGGAAGGACTCGCTCCTTTTCTGCGCCTCGGCCCTCTTCTGGTGGCGGGGCCGCAGCAGCGACTGCAGCCGGGCCCTGGCCAGCGCGCCCTGCATCTCCCCCATGCGCAGCGGGCGGCGGGCGCGCGGTGGCCGAGAGCGACCGGCCAACACTGACGTTTCCTTGAAGGAGCCGCCGTGACTCAGGCCCGGCAAGATTTCCTGCCCCGAGTCCCAAAACAAACAAATGGCCCTTGTGCACGGCCGAGTTGCTTCCGAAAACGCCTTTTTTGTGCTTTTGGCCAAAACCAAGCAAGGCTGAAAAATCCCAGAACTTGGAAGAGGAGGAAGGAAGGAAAGAAAGAGGGAAGGGGGAGGGAGAGGTCAGGAATGCGAGAGGAGGGGGCGGAAATAAAATTCGTCTCTGCACTAACGGGAAAAAAAGTACAATCTGCATTTCGCTTTTTTTTTCCCCCTAAAGTAATCTCTGAGAACATTCCGTCCGTTCGTGTAAATTTTTTCCTTGCATTTTTAATCCCCGCCGTGCCAAGAGCACGTGAGCAGGTGGCCCGTTAGGGGAGCGGTGGCTTCGCTCAGGGGCGACCCGGCGTGACTCAGGCGTCGTCGATTCCTCTCTCGGGGCCTGCTCCTCTCCCGCTGTCTCTCCCTGGAACTCTGCAAGGTCACATTACAGAGTCTCATGCCTTCTTCTCTTGTCCTCATCTTCCCACCCCTCCTCGGGTTGATCTCAGGGCTGACCCAGGAGCCGTCTTAGTTTTGCCACCTCGCTGTTTCTCGCAAGTCCCATATAAACTCACTCCTGAAAGATTAACCATATGACTCCGCTCCAGAAAGCAGAGTCAGCGGAGAAGCTTAAGCGGCAGCTCCGGCTCTGCAGATGCCCACGCCGGTGCCTCCCCGTAGCCCCGCCGGGAGGCAGCCTGATCGCCGAGCGCCAGCTGGGGCCGGGAAGCCGCAAGCGCGGCGACTGGCCCGGGAGCCGGGCAGACAGCTACAAGTTGCCCATATTCGCAGGTCCCGGTACCTGGCGCTCGCTGGTGCTGTCTGCGGTGGCTGCCCTGCCGTGACCCCTTGCTTCCAGGGCCCTTCCATTTTAGAGTTGCCTACTGGATCTGACAAGCCCTGAAATACCAGCTGTCAAACCAGGAATAACATGTGAAGCACTTTTTCCTTGGTCTTGGGCAGGGATTTGTTTTGCAGGCACAACCACCTCAATTGCCCTAATATGATCTTTAGCCTCAACTGCTTCTTGGTTTGCTCAGTTGCAGCAGCCTCAAGCTGGGAGAAAGGAACGCACATCCTCCCTTCTGGAGACTGGCGAGGAAATTTCAGTACCCACTCTTAAAAACACACTTCTTATTGCCGGAAATGAAGGCTCCAATGTAAACCAAGGTTTAGACATTTCCAAATCACAGTAACTGGCCCATGTCTGCTTCCTCTTGCATGCACTCTTCATAGAAGATGACTTTGTTATTGCCGATACCCCTGCAGCCCCCATCCCACGTTCCACCATTCCTCTAGCCTAGCCCAGCCAGCCCTGCTCCCACCAGGTTCCTTCCCCTCTTGAGAGGGCAAATTTTGCTCAGAATGTCCAGGAAGATTAATGCGCACAACACAAAGATTTTTGCTTGTTTGTTTGAAAACATTCAAGTAAGAAAATTTCCATTAGAGACTTTCCCTGAACCCCACTTCATCTTTGTTCCACCCACCCATTCAAATTATAGCAAGAAAAGAACGAACCTTTCAAAGGGGATTTTATAGCCTCTTGTTTCATTCTTCAGGCGGTCCAGGATACATAGGTTAGGGATTACTTTCTGGAGGCTAGAGATGGAGCTCAGTTATGGCTGAAGTAGCCTCCCTGCTATGTGCCTCTGATAAGGCTGGGAGCTCTGAGATGACAAGAGAGGACGAGCCAGAAGCAAGTGTCCCTGTTCTCTCATGAACCCCACTTTATATAAAAGCAAGCTGTGAAGTTCAACACTGGGCCATTTATTCCCCCCATTGCAACATCACCCAGAAAATTACAGTCATTAGCAGCCTAGATTTTATTACATCTCCAGCGAGACACACAAGAAATGTAACTTAACTGATTATCATCACAAATCAGTCCAGAAAAAACTCAAAACACATGCACGGGTTCATTTTCTCAGAGAAGCTCTGCGGCATGCATTCCAGGAGGGAATGTAGACTTCAAGTCAGAGGGCTCTAAGTGGAATGGAGAAGAGGCACAACTATATGATTTGTGGTTGGAACAGAAAAGGAACGTCTGATGGGCCTCTTCCTCCCCTACCCTCATGTTCAGCACTCGGAGCCGGATGGTCTGCTAAACTTATCATTTAATGGGGAGAAGCAAGTTGTTGAGACTGGCTTTTCTTCCAACCGGATACCTGATGGGTGGAGCAGGCGCCCCCTGTTCTGTCCCAGCAACCTACTAAGACTTCCGAACAGGAAGGTGACACACGGCGGTGGGGTGTTGGGAGGGGGGGAACTGTATGCGACGCGGGCCTGTTAACACCGCATAGGCTTTAAGTTACTCTGTGGCTGCTATTCAAACACTTGATCTGTTCTTCCTTCCTGTCGCCAGACTTTCTTTGGTCCAGATATTCCTCCTACCGGGAGAAGTCTGGCCCCTTCCCTTATTCCCTAGAGGCGAAATGGCCAGAGCTGCCTTACCAACTCTGCTTGTAAATGCAACCTAGAGGGCGATCGAGTTCTCTGGGAGAACCACACCAGAATGCATGATTTCCCCCACTTCTCTCTTGGCTTTAGTCAGTTCCAGAGAATTTCTCTACAACACCTTGTGCAGTCATAGGAAATAAAGAGGGCTTCATATGAAATAGACTAATTACCTCTCCACACTCCCAAGCCAATCATCTCACATCTATGCCTCAGTGCTAGGAAAACTGAAATCAAAACTCTCAAATGAAAATGATTCACCAAGATGTAAAGTTTGCACTGAGACAAAATATATCCAGTGCCTGTGCATTTTAATATTTCAGAAAATTGTATTTTCGCTCCTCTACTTTATTTCTCCTTAATGATGGACTACTAACACTAAAATCTGAAAGCTTTATCAAAATATGACTTTTTCCATTAAATTTCAAGGCTCCCAATTACTGACATTTCTCAACATACATATTAGAAGAAATATTTTGAAAAATATTTTTAAAAGGACTTAACTATATCCACCCTTGGACTACTTCTTAAATGTGTCAGCTGTGTTAGTCTTGATTTCCTAAATATAATATCTTCCATTGATAACAGGGCAATATAATTGTTTTGTATTGCTCAAAGTACCACAAATTCTTGAACAACCTATGCACAGTTTAGGTTTCCACACTTTTTGATTCATATGTTGATGCAAATAGAAACAATTCCCTGGAGCATCCTCAAAGAAAGTCCCTAGAAATACCAGAAAACATAATTATCACTCTAGAGAGCAACTGAACAGATCAGTTTTTGATGAAGGTTGTCACCAAGTGCATGTCTTTTTTCGTAGTACTCATCAAACAGAAAACGATGATGAGAAATGAGTTTATTCATGGTAGCTATTATAGACAAATAACTAGAAATGGTGGTTATTTAAATGTCTGTATAGAACAGTGGTTCTATAATGGTTATTATCTTCCATATTCATAATAGTCAAAATTGACATGCATAAAGACGATAAAAATGTGACACAATAGATAACTAAGAGAAGAGAAGAATACGCTATCTTTAATAAGAAGTGTTAAGAATTATTAAAACCCCAGAAACTGCATGCTTTATTTATTGCAGGGCTTATTTTTTTTTCAGACACAGAGATGATAACACCAACGTTCTATTCCCATCCCTTCTAGAAAGTGAGGCCACAGGAAGGTTGATGGGAGGGTAGGGACATGATTTTGTAGTAAAATTTTCATGTCAATCGGGGAAAAAATTAAAGAGGGGAAGACAGTGAGAGATCCTGACATGGGAGGAATGAGAATCTAGATAGCAACAAGCCAATGGATCTATGTTGTCAGTGTCTGAGTTAGCATAATTCAATAAACAATAACTAAAAATTAAAAATAACCATCCATTAGAACACAATATGAATAATAATAATAAAAAAACCCAAACAAACAAATAGAATACAATATGAAGGGTAAATAGTACATGTCTGTACCACTTTATATTTGGCTTTCAGGATAGACCTGGAAAATGATGTCCAGGGAACTTTCCATTTGATTATGAAAAATGATGCACTAGCTTGAATAAAAGAATAAATTTTTTAAAAATTTAAGTCAAAATTCAATATTATCTGTCACTTCCTAAACTCAAGAGGACTATGGCCTTACTGAAATCTTTATATATTGTAGGTGTTTGCATTTTAAAAGGCCATTTGTTGACAAATTCAAAAATTAATTTGTAGTGATAAAATGTCGAGCATTGTGGCAAGGAGCAGGTCAGAGAGCTTTGGGGTGAGGGGCCTCCCCACTACATCTAGCCTGGTCTGCCTCTTCTCCCTTCACTCTGTGCAGGGTGAACCGACATGT